GTGTAAATTACGATTAGTGTAATAAGGAGATATCGAAATAGCTAGTATATATTTACCCAAATGTCAAAGAAGTGATTCTGGTATATGCGACCAGTCGTTTATATGAAGGTTGTTATCATAAGGGCTCCATTTTTTTTGTATCTATATGTTGTGGCGTTGCAATAAATGTCTATTCTATTCTATTGAACCGGTTAATAGTTCGCCATGCGATGAACGTGCGGTCACCACCTGAGTTTACACTGCATTAATAAAGCTTCCATGCCTTACACAAAGTATGTACCTGCTCTCATCCCCACTATGTCCGACCAACAGCATCCTTGAAAACCTTATTTTGGTTTTTTTTTTTTTATACATGACAGGCAAATGACTCCACTCCACCTGATGTTAAGTGGAAAGTGGTATCCAAATGCAAAGGAACCTAGTGCAGCGATGAAACCCTCACTGCACTAGCCACCTCCACCCTGCCTGCCTACAATATGCCTCTTCACGCCTCGTTTGAAGGACCCCATATCATAAGAGGGAGGGAAGACATGTGCCGGAAGGGAGTTCCATTTGTCAACCGTGCGGCAGAGAGAGGAGCCACCAAACCTTTTAGTACGCGATGGAATGCGGCAGGTAGTGAAACGGTGACTACGAAGGCCAGCACGCGTGCTTCTAAGCAGGAACGGGGAAGGGGGGCTGAGGTTGAACAGCTCTTCAGAGCACTCACCATGGTACATGCGGTAAAAGGCGCTAAGCGATGCAACATCTCTACGCAGTTGCAGAGGTTCAAGGTTTTCTTGGCGTTGAACTCAACAAGATTTCTAGATCCCCATGCAGAGATGAGGTCCAATATCCTATTGAGCTCACCGACAAGATTAGATCGCTCTCTATCAGTATCGGCGCGCCCAGCTGCGGGGAATCCGTGATATCCCCCATGAACAGTGCTATCATCTGCATAACAATGAATATTCCCAAGTGGAAGCATATCATTGATATGCAGAAGGAAAAGCGTGGGAGATAGGACGGATCCCTGCGGTACGCCGGCGTTCACATTCACGAACCTCGAAATGCTGCCGTCAGAAACGACGCGAATTCTCCGCTCACGAAGGAAATCGGCAATCCAGCTGCATAACTGGGCTGGCAAACCGTACGCCGGGAGCTTGGAGAGAAGAGCTTTGTGCCAGACCCGATCGAACGCTTTGGCTATATCGAGGCTAACAGCCAACGACTCGCCACGTTTGTCTATAGCCTCACCCCTTATGCTTTATGCTAAACCTTACTCCATACATGGATTGTAGTGGTAGTACGCAGAGAAAGACTTGCAAAGACAATAGTAAAAGTATATAGTACGTAAAAATACAGATATTATGGTGGCAAATCTTTCTTTCATATCGTGTGTAGGTGGACAGTAGGTAACGTACTACGCGAATACAATGTGTGAATTGCATGTTTAAATAAAAGTGCGGGGCGTGGCTCAAGTAGATCGCCACGTGCGCAGAGTTATGCCGAAGAATGTATGAAACCATACTGCAACAGATAGGGCCATCGAGGTGGCTGCTTATTTGGCTAAAGAAATATAACACCGGTTTGGTATTTTATTTGTTTTTTTATGGGTTTTTGTTGTTGATTTGACAAAAAGAAGATTAAGGACACGAGTAAACTGTCGGCCAATAAGTCTGCAGTCTGTGAAGGCTCAAATTCAATATTTATTTTGCCTTCCTCTAAATATGTCCGTAATATATTTTGTTTTGTTTTTGTTATAGTTTTAAGCCATTTCATTAGGACGTATTATTCACTCTATGTGCATTATTTGAAGATTTAAGGTAAATATACACTATCTATTCCAATGTAAAAAAACAGATGAGATGTTATTTGATATGTGAAGACCTGAGAAGGACATTCGTACATTAATCATTCTACGTTACAAAAGTTGATTCGCACATTGCAGATTTCAGCTTTGACATAACAATTGTTACAGGTTGGAATAGAAAATAAAATTATATTTCAAAATTACACTGTAAATTTTTCGAATTTATACACGATAAAATTATTTTTCCCACGCTGAAACGTTTTGTTGCAACCTGGATAATCTTTCATACAAGTTGCAATAAAAAGAACAAACGTGTTAATATTCTTTGACAATGGATTCAATGACTAGATTATTAAATGAATAGTTAAGGGACTTTTCCTCTGTAACTTCAAATCAATTTTCCTTGCATTTGTAAGTCAATGATTTGGGTTCACGTATTTACAGTTAAACAAATCTATGGTATGGCCATTGTCTATGGTCATCCGATAATCTGTACTGTACACATTTCCCATTCTTAGGCTAAGAACTCATGGAGCGGTTTGCACCCGCGCCCGCCGCGGTTGCGGGACCGCGGCCACCGAAGAATGTAGAAATGTATGCAAAATTTAGTAGCACATTTCACGACGCGTTTTACGCCCGCAGCGGAGACGGTTGCTCGCGGCGGCCGCAAACCGTGCTGGACGCGGGCACCCGCGTGCTTGGCGGGCGTCGCCCGTGCACTCTGCGGTCGGTTCGCGGGCGACGCGTTACACGCGCGCGGCTTGGGTCTTTCCTTCCCACGCCGTTTTGTGATTGATTTTCGCTTTGGCAGCGCGTGTCTATTTCTCAAGTTATGGATGTTGAAGTCGATCAATTAATTTAACAGTTACCATTTTTCTTAAAAGTTCTGAACAAGTAGATACGGACATCCGAATAAAATTAAAGAATTTCTCTTCTTATTTTTTTTAAAAATTAATAAAAACAACGAATAATCCGTAACGATTCCGGAATCAGAGGATGCACCTTGAATCTTTTAGGCCTTCTTCTTCTAATTATTCGATGAAGCAAGTATAACGCGATAGCTCGTTTTTGATGTGAGTCCATGGCGCCGTCTGAGACTTAACTGACGATCTCAATAGATCGTAAACAACCGCGCGGCTTGCGATTCTCTCTCGCCAAGTTTGCGGGCCGTTACGCAACCGCGGCGGCTACGTGACCGCACAAACCTGCGGTATCGTGAGTGTTGAAATAAAACAGCTGTCCCGCAACCGTAGCGGGCGCAGGTCAAAACCGCTTCGTGAGTTCTGTCTCTTAGGGCGCCATCAAATTAGACGTAGCAGTGCTGCAGTGGTGCCACTGTGGCGATGCGGCCCAGCCAGAATATATAGAAGCGCAGTTGCAGCGCCACTGTCGTGACACGCGCGAAATTACTGAAATGCTACAGACGCGCAGTTGCCACGTCCACTGTATAATGAAATATACAGTAAAAATACAAAATATACAGTAGAAATACAACACGTAGTTTGCGTACTACGAAACATTATCTAAAGTGGCGCTTTGTTGCCTCGATAGCAGTTGATATTTTAAATACGATATTTTGAATACGAGAGAAGGAATCCACAAATATAATAAAGAACGGTATAAATACGCCGAATTCTGTAACTTGTACAAAGTATACAGGACATATCATAATAAGTTTTGTGAATACACGTATAACACAACATATAATTATGTACTTTTGAAACACCAAAGGAAATCCAGAAGGGTTCTCACCATTAAGAAAAATTGTTCCTCACGTTAATAATATTTTTTAATTTATGCTATTATTTTGGCATCCATATTGGTGGCCGATTTAATATTTCACCCATAAATGCTTCTGTGTCCTTCTTTCGCTCCAAAATATTTTGTTTGTCTGGCCGCCGTGGAGTGCGTCACTCGATCGCCGCTGTCTGGGCTGCGATCGCCTCATGGCGAACTTAATACATTTTTTACATTTTGTTCTTGCCGTTTGCCGCCCAGCACAGTCGTAGCCAACTACTAACACAGGCTTATGGCACTGCCATTGTTTTATTTCTTTCGTGGCCACGCCACAGTCGCGCTACTGCAGCTCTTCTATAAGCGTCCAATTTGAAGGCGCCCTTACACAAGAAGGAGAATTATGAGATAATTTAGAAGTTTTTCAATGTATAAAGCTGGGAATAACAAGAAAAAGAACGAACTTGAAGTAATATAAGTATTTATCTGTCTATGACATTTAAACTCAAGTCTCAAAAGCAAACATTCTTCATTAGGTATCGTGTCTACCTTTTGAATATAACTGATTGTTAGAAGTTGATTTATAGGGGCTGCAGCTCGGGACGTGAAGTTGAAAATAAAAAACTCGCCTAAAACTATTAATTAGAGTTAGGAGACAAAATATAGTAACAAATTGCCTATTTTTGAATCTTCTTCATCTTTATTACGTCTGAAATGAGCGAACCAGTTTGATGCTTTGCATCTAAAAGCACATCAAAATACAATTCGCAGGATATAAAAATATATTATTTTAAATCCACGAAATTCCTATTAAAGCCTGTTCCATGCAGTTATCATATTATAATTTATGACTCAAATTCTCACAAGAAATTCATATTGAAGCAGAAATCACCAATAATTTTATATATAATAACATTTACTCGAAAATATATATGGACACATTATGATAAGGTGCGTTCAAATCGTTACACAATAATTAGTGTTTTTACGTAAAAACTACATTTTAAATGTTTCACAATTCCCTAAAGATATGTTTTTTTTAAATCCAAATCGATTCAAAAACTTTTTCCATATTATTTACAATAAATACAGAGGACACTCTAAACAGTTTCTAGTAAACATTCGTTGTTTTCCAAGTATAATAACGTAAAGGGTTTTATAAACACGAATAAATGTCTATCATCGTCATTAATATACTAGGTTTGTGCAAACCTATTCTACTATCACATAATTCTAACGTCATGCTTCGAGCTAAGCATTTTGTGTAACACGAGAAAGCTTTGAGCACGGTGGTGGTAGAAAGCACTAATAAGCAACTTTACTTCATTCGATATCAACACGACAGCAACCTCGTAACAACTCCTCATTTCCGGTTTAACGTGACTGCATTTCTTTCAAAATATTCCCCTTCCCGCGTACCGCAGACTGTGAAGGGCGGTAGCGGTCACGCGTTCATCCTACATTCGTCTTTCGAGAACTTCTTTAAATCAATCACCTTTGTCCAACCTTCCTTTAACACTGCTAAGTTTGTCTGCACAAGATAAGTCGTAGTCAGAAGTAATACACTTTGTCCGTTGCTTCAAAATGTACGTGCTTCTTGCCGTGAGGTGGCAGCACGACCAACAACCATCAGGCCGGGTTCCCTTTCCTACCATTAACCACATCCTTACGATATTTTTTATTCACTGGAGATTTCACTGGGCTTTTATCGTCGTCTGTTGGTTCATTTATTTCAGGGATGGAATGTTTTATTGGTGGTTCACCACCAGCGTCTTTATCTGCTTGAGTCAGCACTTCTTGTACGTGTATGGTAAGTTCAGGGCGGACAACGTGTGTGAAGGGAAGGAGGGCGCCGGCGACGTCCATGGTGTTGTTGATGTTCCTGTGCCACAGCTCGAGCACGACGCTCCGCCGTTGCTACTTGTATCTTGGTGGACCTAGCCACCCGCAGCCGAACACCTAGGGGTTTTCACGAAGAATTTTAACATTTTGTAAATCTTTTGGTTATATAGTTCCACTAACAGATATCTCGTGACACTCAACAGGACTATGCTACTTTTGTCCCAGAAGTTTCGTTAAAGAAAGGAATTTTACAATTTTAACTCGACAAACTTATAGTATACAATTATCACTGCACGTCAGTTAATTCCTAAAACACATTGTAGTTAAATGCAGGGATTAGAGTATACGGACAATGTAATCGAAGATAAAGTAATAAAATAATACAAAAGTCACGTTCTTACTTGGCAAACAATAAGCGCCAAGAACAAAAGCAGCAACAGCAACAACAGGCCCCAGACGACGCCGAGCTGCGTGAGCGCAAACACGTATAACGTGCGGTGGCACCACTGGTTCGGCTCGAACAATGTAGGCGCGTAGTCCGGCCACATTATCTCCAAGGTCCACAGGTTACCAAACGCGAACCTGAGAATATTAAAGGGATTGACGAACAAATACTAGGCGCCGGGAGTCACAGTATAAATAGTCTTCATTAGGTAAATCAACAACCTGGTGAATATGTGTGAATAGGTTTTAATCTCAATACAGAATAATCGATTGATTGGAAGCACATGAAAATGGTTGGAAGTTTGTTTTCTTCTCTAAAGTGTAGAGTCATTACCGGTGCTAAAGGTTGATGTGTGAATTGTGTCAAGGTCTCCAAAAGCCTGGATGTCAATGACCTAACCGTAAAGCTTAGTAGTGAGCGTGTCGGCTGTTCGGTTAATAATATTTAACTACAAACAATATCTGCTACATAATATTTGGTACGCTAATGCTCAATCGAGGATGTCGGAAAACTGCTGCGCATCTGTGACACAAGATCTTCCCGTAGAAATATTTTATTCATGTTCTAATTAAATATTCTCCTACTCTTTCCTCCCATGACTACATATTTCACATCGTTCCCATTTTATTAATTGAATTGGAAAATCTTTTAAATGCTGCTCAATGAGAAATCATCACACTAACAACATATTATACCCAAATATACACAGACAAACACGTCCATGCAAACGCACACGCGTACTCGCATACAATTTTGAGTTACTTTGTTTTCTCCAATATTAATTATTTGTTTATTGTCCTATTGCATTGGTATATCATTTTTAGCATAATGTATATTATATAAAACAACGAAAATTATATAATTCACTGTGCTATTACAAGTTTTGCACTTACCTACTTATAGCACAGGTTTTACATTATGCTTGTTAGATTATTATTATTTTATACAAAAAAAATATTTATTTTAATTATTCTATAAATTTAATTATTTATTTTAAGCATACTGACGTAACAATTAAGACTGGCTACTTCAAAATATTTTTTTGTAATGAATTGAGTCTAGCATAAATGAGTCATTATAAATACATCGTTTATAACTCTGATCACAGTGAATTTATAATTCCGAGAAGATTGATACTGAAAATGTTATTTTAGTAACAGTATACCTTTCACATTTTCAAGGGAAATTTGGAACAATACGTCAAATGAAACTTCACGCTAAAATGTCGAGCAGAAATTTTGATTTTGGCATCAGTACAAAAACTCTCAAACAACAAATATTGAAAATAGAATAACTTACTTCTTCGTTTTCTGATAATCACAAATTATTGTTCTAATTGCGTGCTATTGTTCACTCAATAATTTGATGTTTCAAATTTGTATACACTTATAAATAAATCACTAATAAATGTCCCAATTTTATACTAAATGCATGAATTTGTTCAACTGTAACCGCGAAAATAGTCTGTATCAGGGCTAAAATATGAATAAAGAATATCTTGTAATAAGATTTGTTTGCAAGGAATATTGAAAGGCTAAGCCTCAATGAAAAATTATCATCGTAAACCGAAGGCTGAATGAAAATTCGGCGTAGCGAAATGCTTTTCTATTATGAATAAGTATGAAAACGAAAATAATATTATAACATAAAACTGATGATCCTTGAGTTTTTATTTTTCTAAAAGGTTTTTTACGTCTCATTACATTTGTTGGCATTTATTTGCGTTCTCAGCTTCTTTTTTCTTTTTTATAGAGTAATTTTTATTTTTTCTACATTCGCTTTTGTCCGTTTATTACATATACATGTACATTAACAATTTAGACAAAAACATGAAGTCTAGAAAATATAACGAATTTGTCATCCAGATCCACGCACACGCAGACTCATGCATATATTCGACCCCTCCTACGTAAAGTATCGTATGTCGAAATTGCCAAGTTTACAGGGAGGCATTTTAAAGTTCTCCATTTTATTCGGCAAAGCTCGTTAGTCAAATAGAGTGATCATCTAATACATCATCTAACCGATATCTAGGATTTTATAATACTCTATGTGAGTAACGAGCTTTGTCGAATAAAAGTGAGAAATGCTAAAGTCACGTGTTGTGCTTATTTCAGTGAATTCAGAATATTTAAAAGGCTCCTCTGTAAACTTGGCAATTTCGACATACGATACTTTACGTCGGAGGGGTCGAATATACTCATCTACCATATTTTTTGAACGAACATCAGTTTATTATAGTTCATAATTTGATGTTATCAAATTATAAACATTAAGATCGCGGCAAGTAAAGCTCTGAATGTCAAGGGAAAAGCACCATTGTTCACGTTCTTGATACCACAATTCCTACCATCAATTAAATTTACGATATCAAAAAGTCACATTGGTAACTCACCATCCCATAAGAAAGACCACCAGCGTATAGGCGAGGACCCTTTCAGGCACGCTGGCCGAAGAGTTGGAGCTCCTTGAAGCCAGCTGGGCCCACAGCAGCCAGCAGATGCCAGCGCCACCTGCCGCACCGCCCACCACCATGTACACCGGGATCCGAGGCTCAGCGGGACAGTCGCGTATGTATTGGACACCTGAGTCAAAAGGTTTATAGTTAGAAATATGTTTGTGTATTTTTTTTATAATACTATAATAATAATATAATAATAATATTTATTGTTACAAAATAGTTACAACACAATAGTGAAGTCCCTGACACCTGAGCTAGGTATAACCTGTGTTACAGGAGTCAGTGTCCTCTCTCAAACATTTGACGTTACATTACCTATTTCTTAACAATTTTAATAAGTACATTATTAAATAAATTACATATTATATGTTTTACTGAGTGTGTGTGTGTATGTGTGAGTGTGTGTGAACGTGCATGTGCGCGGGTGTAGGTGTGTGTGTGCCTGCGTTTGTGTGTAACAATATACACTCGCGCGTTAGTTGTATAGAGTCTATTACATTGTTATTACCTGCAAATACTTTATTTTTTCTCAGTTGTTACAATAAGGCTTCAGTTTTATGGTAATCTAAGGTTAATAGCCAGTTCTTAGTTTTAAGTTTAGCTTCACGAGCAGCTAACAGATATATGTTTAAAGTTTTATTAATTGTATTGTACAGATACGTAGTCATAAATAGTAACTGACGTCTTGCCCAAGCTGTGCGACATTTAATGGAAAAACACACATTAGTGCGGGTGCGCTTTTTGATGTACTTGTCTTTGCAGTATGGAGTGTTTCTGTGCTGCTTGATTACTAGTTGCAAAACGTACAACTGTCTTATACTCAATACTTGGCATTTGTCATACAACGATGTAGTAGGAAATCTGTACGGACTAAAAGTCATAACTTTAAGCATGGATCTTTGTGCTCTTTCTAAAGTCAATAAGTGAGTTTTACAGGCACCACCCCAGACTCCAACACAGTAACTCATCACCGACTGCGCAAGGGCGTAGTATATTGTACGCAGTAGTTCAAGATTAGCCACATATCTCAGTTTTTTGAAAATATACTAAGTGACGGGAGAAACAAGTCGTGCGCCTGAAGGTAAGCGACACGCCTGTCCACAACATTTGCAATGCCACTCGGAGCTTTAAATCGCAAAGGTCTTCGCGGCACTGTCACTGAGCCTGTCTCCTTGAGTCATAAGTTGACAAGTCCCATGTGCTTCTAATTTCTCCTTACCATTCCAAACCGTAACGCGTACATTACTGCATGGCGGTAGATATAGGTTATGTACTTCCTTGGACGAACTCTTTGACAAGGAGCTCGACTGCTACTCTACTTTATTTTCCTATTTTCCTTTTCTAACTTCCGTCATAAAGAAATCAAAAACTTTGCTTGAACTTCATAATTTTCCAATCCAGCATTCATTCATGTTTTCACTCTTATGTTATTTATAACGATTGAACAGAATAAATTATGAATGGTTCCACACCGCCGTTCGCAAACAGATTAATCTGTATTATTACGTTGGTAATAAAATTCATTAACTTAGGCTATGAACCACAATTTAAATAATCTATCTAATAATAATAAATAATAATCTATATTCTTCTTCTTCAGTGCTATATTTGGCGTATTGGTTTATTACTATGCAAATTTGTACAGCAAAATACTTGGGAAATACAAAGAAGCTTTCGGAATGTAAGCAGAGACATATGCTGGCTAAATTTGCACTCTACGTGTTACTGACGTGAAAGACCTTCGGCACGTAAAAGTAAAACAGGAATTTTGCCAAGTCGACCATACAACTGCTAATGATAAACAAAGTTATTTGGAGAAGATGAGTACGCCTTAGAAGGAAGCCCTGGAATATCAGAAAGTGGCCAGGCATTGCTAGGAATATGGCTATTCGGCCAAGCAAGAGCAGGAAGTTTGCCGACATGACCAACCTTAACTAGTTGGAAATGCAATGGAGGAAGTCATTATTTAGTAAGGAAGTCGTAAAATTAAGATATAGGAAAAACAAATCACGAGCAACCTACGGGTGTCCAGTGGGCCGTCTGAGGTATTGCAGGAAGGTTGGAGTCAAATACCTGAAAGGGCTGAATGTGAAGAAATGGCGTTCTTTGATGCCGAAGCCCCGCTTCGGGCCGCTGAACAAGCGAAGCAAAGTAAAATTAAATCCAGTTATGTCTAATATTAATGTAAACCACCCTATTAATTAATATTAGATTAATATTAATATTAGACATAACTGGTTGAAGACTGTACCACCTCAGTCAACCGTGACCATGGGAGCTGTAAAGGGCCCGAAACGTCGGTTTGTTTGAAAAAACAAATATACGCGATTTAAATCCGGAAAAATAGTTTCATTTCCTATGTGTAACAATCGCGAAAACCTAAGAACTCGATAAAATTAAATCGACTATTACAATAACTTCTTTTTATGAAACCGAGTGATGGGATGAATAAGTCGTGCGCCTGATGGTAAGCGACACGCCTGTCCATAACAGTTGCAGTGCCACTTAGAGCTTTAAATCACAAAGATCTGAAAGGGCGCAGCCACTGCTCCCATCACCATTCACAAGTCCCATGTGCATTAATTTCACCAGCGCTCATACCCTTCAAAACCGATACGGCGGCAGAAATATGTAGATAAGATGGCAGTACTTCCCTGGACGAACACTTACACAAAAAGCTCTACTGCTAATACTGTCGTCCACTAACCAACACGCGATTAAGTGACAAATGGTCAAATATCCCTTTTAAACAGCAAAAGATAGAGCACAAAATTCTCTATCAAAAACAGTTAAAATTAGTTAACGTGATCGACTTATCGGAACTTACCCTAGAGATGCATAGCTGTAATATCATTAAACAATTTCAATGTTCTAAAACTGGGGTATGGTTTTTTATGGTATCTCAAAAAAATATTACGTCACTTAGCCACGTTTTAGTCAACAAACGGCAGAATAAAACTTCCAACTCAAAAACTTCCAAATAAATTGTCTACATTCGCTATATAATTGAGTTTCATATGCTGTAATTGTTCAAAGACAGTTCTGTGTGAACTGCACGAATAATATGGAATAATAACCATGTTTGTATTTATTCTGCTGCTTATTTCCAGGTCGTTGGTTGTTTTGTGTTTACGTTATGCTTTTATTGGCACACGCTGTGTCAACTTGTTAGGGTCTGTTGGTTGTTTGAGACATTTTAATTTATGTATATCAACGTCCATGGAAGAAAAAAACAATGGAAGTGGCATAAGACTCGATTACTATCAGAACCACAAGTACATCTATGGAAATCTTGACAACGATTGGTTGTAGTTTCGAATTTAAAAAGAAATACGAAAATCTTGACGGTTAATTATGATATGGTAACGTTTCACGTTACCCTGTTGGCATAAACGTTGCAAATTCAATAACATCAATAAAATATATTGTTGCAAGTTACGACGTTTTGATTTTACATTGAAATTTCAATCAATGTGCTGCCATCAGGCGGTTAATAGCTGAACGACGACGTATTTGGGATGTATACTTTGTTCTCCAAAAAAGAAGCGACCATATTGCAGCAGTATAAGGTTCATTTTCGTTTCTTGAAACAAAAAATATTAAAATAAACAAAAAAAAAATTTTAAAGACTTAATGATGATAGGAAATACCACCATAGATAATATTACAAGCGTGACTATCATTTTTGTACTCCAAAGTAGGTTAACTTAGCTATATAAGGCACTTTTCCACGATTTTCAAGGTTTTGCGCGACGTCAACGTCAAAGTCAATGTCAAAGTCAAATAATCATTTATTACACAGATAAAATAAATACATTTGAAAACGTAATTTTTTAAGCTACTGCTTGTTCACTGTGCTTTCCTGAGAAGAATGAACAAGAATCATTAGGGATTGCTCTATTCAAATAAGCTTAAATGCTATGGAATACACTTTGAGTCAAATTTATGTGGAAACTAGACCAATGTCGTCTTTCCATACATTTTTACCTAACACGTAATCTTCAATTTTGTAATGTGACTTTTCAATTAAAATACTTTTAGCGTAAGTTTTAAACTTAGGATGTGATAATCCGGAATATTGCTCTAAAACCGTATACAATTCCCCACAAAAGAATCGTTTAGTTTTGTTAAACGAAATCGTGGTACCAATAGTTTGGACTTAGTTCTAAGTTTAATTAATTGTAAAGTCAATTAACAAGGTAGTTGACGTGAACATAACGTACAAAGCGAAAATGGCGCACTAAGCTCAAGTTTGCGGAACTCCGCGGACTGTTGGCACACATGCCACACAAACTAAGCACGTGTACTATGTTTATTGTAATGTCGTTATGTCGTAATAATAAATAGTACATACCCGAATCGAAAAACTTTCAACAGTAAGCCCAGTCACTATAAATAATGGCTGGTCTGTATTAACAATGCCCACATCAAATGGGCAAAGCAATATAAAACCTGCATGATTAATCACAACCTCTCTCTTTCTTTGCGAATTCGCCAAGTGACATTTAAAATCCGTTTTAGTGTATTTGTCTTTTTAAACGACTTCAACATTAGGAGGACGTTCTCGATAGTTTTTTTTTTGTATGGTCCTATTTAAATTTGAAAACAATATTACCTGTAAGGGTAGCAAACTAGGTGTGATGAATCCACTTCGTCGGTTTTTTAATACTCTGTACTGAAATTATGTACTATCAAATTATTAATGTGAAAGTGACAATACTCGGATATTATTATTTAATCGCCATCTGAACGAATGAACAATGGAAGGTGTCCGACGACTGGCGACGAAATACGACGAACTAATCTCTGTGATTCAATAATATATATGTTTTATTTTGAACTACTATTTTAAATTAATTAAACTAGTACCTCGTACCTTTGAAAGCGCGATAATACTAATAATAATAAATACATTATGAAGATTGACCGAATTACGACCGCAGATCAATTCACTAATTCCAGACTTGTTAGCGATTCCGCCTACGTTATAAAATGTAATTTAAAATAAAGTGGATGGAATTTCAATTAAAAAAAGGTCAGTCAGTAAAAGCTCCAATTGATCATCATCAATTCGTTACATGTCCCGCTGCTGAGCATGGGTCTCTTTTAAAGGTAAAAATTTCA